TATGAATCTGTGATCAATTCAGAGTACTCACATAGTATTTGAATAGGTTAATATATATAAAAATATCAACTAAGAAAAAGTTTTCATGATAATAAAGAATTACTAAGAATAAAACACAATAAAAATATTGGAATGGCAAATATATGACCAGCACCTCTAACAGTTTGGGGATAGGATATCACACAAAATTCTAGTATGTGGTGGATGTAGACAGTGTCCATGATGCTTGCTGGTGGCCAGGTGTCACTTGTGGGACTGAGCTACTGCTATTTCCTTGATATCCACCCTGTAGACCCAGACAGAATTATGACCCATAGGGTGCAGGAGAAGTCCATTTATAGAGTGTGCTCATGAAAGTATTTTGCTGCTGTATACAAAACAATAATTGAAAAACTGCTTTTGTATAACTCCTTTTCTCCTGTATTTGTTTGCTCTATTTGACGGGTTCTTTCCATTCTCATTCATGGGGCTGTGATTAATTTGCTTCCTCTCTAGAACATCATTTAGTAGTCTGTAGGCTTGGTTTTGTCATCGTGAAATTCTTTAGCTGTTCTTTGTCATGAAAGTATTTCACTTTTCCATTATATACTTGAAAGAGAGTTTTGCAGGATATATCAGTCTGAGTTGGAATTTGTTTTCTTGCAAGACTTGTAGTACTTTGCTCCATGCTCTTCTTGACTTGGTTGTTTGTGATAAGAAATCTGCCATTATTCTGATGGGTTTTCCTTTCAATGTGGTCTATTTCTTCTCTCTAGCAGCTTTAGTATACTGTCCCTGTGCTGAATTTCTGGGATCTTGATTATTATATGCCTGGGTGTGGTTTTAATTGGGTTGATGTTATTTGGAGTTTTATATGCCTTGGTTTCCTGAATGTCAGATTGTTTCCTCATATTTGATAAGTTTCCTGCTATTACTTCTGCCCATATTCTTTTTCTTGCAAATTGGGGATTGAACTCAGGCCTTTACACTTGCCATAACCCTGCCCCCTTCTTTTTTGATGGTAGCAGGGATCAAACTCTGGACCTTGTGCTTTTTTTT